AAATCTTTATTGAACAAGTCAGGATACAATTCTCAGGAAACAGAAAAGGCGCTAATCCAATCACCGAACGCGCACGGCCAGTCTCGACGTAAGGCCTTCTCGCTAGCCCTAGTACTCAGACGAGAACAAGTCAGGATACAGGATACAGATCACGAGTGTCAGACTCGTGATCTGATTGGCTATTGAAACCCGACTGTGCCCGTTCACTTACAGTGCACAGGGGCCTGCTCTGTTTAATCTGAAGGCCCGAGCAAGTTATATTTACCTGGCAACGCAAGCTAGCTGAAATATGATTGGTTAAAAACTCTACCATAATAAATAAGTTATTTATTGAGTGGCTTTCAATGTTATTTAAAATAACAGCCACTCAACTAAGTGGAAATAATATGATGTAAAGAATACAGAGAATAATTTTGTTTACATATTTATGAAAATAAAATAACATAAATTATGAAATAACATAAAATACATAAAAGTAAATTTACTTTTCTGAGAATGTTTAGGCCAGCAGAGAAGGCCTTGCTGGCCCTCAGGGTCCGCCACTGCTCGAACTACACACCTCTTTCCGGTAACGAAAACACTTCCTGCTTTTCCTCGCCAATCAGATGCAAGCAACATAAGAATATTTCAGCATTATTAAACAGAATATAATTTCGGTAACTGTAACATAAAAGAATATAATGCTGAAATATAAAATGATAATAATTTACAATTTAACAAAATCTTGTATTTGTATTTCACTGTGTTCACCTGCAAAGCATCTCCAGTAAAGGATACTGAATCACAGCTTGGAATCCTGTCTCTTCATCCCTGTGCTCTGACCGGCACACGATCCGGTTTACAGTTAGCCAATTTAGCAAATTAGCCCTATTGCCTCCACAACAATATCGATTCATGTTTCTTGCAAAAACACCAAAATTGCATCTTGTCTTTGCTTTTAAAAATTTTGAGATATTGCAAATATTTTTGCTTCCAATCCTTCTTCAAAATAAATGCAATAATATTTGAACGAACAATTTTTACTGGACTCTCATTTCAAAACCAGTTATTCATCAATTAATATGAAACGATCGTATTTATTTGGGTTCACAGTCATAACATGTCATGGTCCTGTGCTGTTTGCTTTGTTTTTTTCAGTTTCCAGCTGAACCTGAAACTGTACTAATCATGCCTCGTTACCAACTGCCTATTTATACCCTGCTTCACAGACAACTGGCTGTCAGATTATTAGCCTTGCTCATGACTCTGTCTCCAAGTGCTTAATTTTCTAAACGTTCTTGACATTTTCCCTCATAGCTTCTTGCCATGTTTTTTTAAAGTATCTTTTTATGTAAGTAGTTCTTGTTGATTATATTCTTGTGTATTGGATTTCCTTGTCTTTGAGTTTGACAAACAATTGACGTTTTTCTCTGTCCTTAACTTTTGCAAGCACTTTTGGTTTGTTTTCATTTTTTCCTGGTTCTTTGTGGACCAGCATCCTTCACTATCCTTCAATATTTTTTTTGGTGAAATCTCTTGTTTGTGCCTACGCTTGTGGAATCCAATTCTGTCCGGAGCATTCCTGACACCTGACAGAATAATTCGACCATATATCTATGGTTTGATATGTATCCGGGTGGCATGGTGGTAACTGGTTAGCACGTCCACCTCACAGTGCAGAGGTGCATGTTCTCCCCGTGCCTGCGTGGGTTTTCTCCCGGTACTTCGGTTTCCTCCCACATTATGAAAACATCCTTGGTAAGGATGGAACACTCTACATTGTCCCTTAGTGTAATTGTGAGTGTGACTAGTTGTTTGTCTACATGTACCCTGTGATTTGGCTGGCAACCAGCTCAGGGTGTCCCACGCCTACTGCCCGAAGACAGCTGGGATAGTCTCCAGCATGCTCGCAACCCTCGTGAGGCTCAGCGTGTCATGATCCTGTTCTTGTGTCTACAGCAGGTGGCAGACTAAAGCCAATCCGTCGGTGTGCACACCTGTTGCCAATGTTCGCATCATTTAGCCATGTATTTAAGGACTGACAAACGGTGTGTGGTTTGTTGGATTATTGTTGACTTTGTTTACTGCTCTTGAGCAAGTGATCGTTTACTCGACCTCTTGCTCTCGTCAAAGTCAATCTCGTTCCTTTAGTATCTTGTTTTTGTCAGTACTGTCTTTGTTTAGTCATTTGTTTTTGTTTGTTTCGCATAATTGGAATCAGGACATTTCATTGGTTTTCTCGGTTAAACAATTTCCTTGCATTTTGCAAGCGCTTTTTGTTAATGCATTGTTTCTCCTGGTTCGTTTTAACATGCGTTTTCTGTTCATACTTTGTTGTTTCGCTTTTGTTCTTATAAATAAATATTTTTGTTACAGAGTTTTGGTTGGTGTCTGTTTCTGGGATCCTAAAACATTCGCTTCATTTCGGACCTTAACAAAGCTGATTAGACAATGGAAGGATGTTGCTGCAACTTAAAAGAATGAAGCATTTCAATCTTGCCTCTTAATGTCGTGGGGTTGAAAGATGACATAAAAAAACGTCAGCGACAACGTACAGTCACATGTTTTGATACTTTCTGACCTCTTGTCACATCAGAGGGTGAGAGCATGACCAATCTCAAAAGCTCTGATGTATACAATACCTATTAAAGTTGGTCACAATTTGATGTCACCCCCACTGGTGTTTGACTCAACTGTATTTAAAGAGGACTTTAAAACAACCACCGCTGAATACAAAGTGCTGTATATGGAGTAAAAATAATTCATACAACAAACATCCATCCATCCATCCTTTTTCCGATCCGCTTTATCCTCACAAGGGTCGCGGGAGGAGGGGGGGCGGGCACCGGAGCCTTTCCCAGCTGTCTTCGGGCAGTAGGCGGGGGGCACTCTGAACCCGTTACCAGCAAATCGCAGGGCACACAGAGACAAACAACCGTGCTCACACTCACACCTCAGGACAATTTAGAGTGTTGCATTAAACTACCATTCATGTTTGTGGAATGTGGGAGGAAACAAGAGTGCCCGGAGAAAATCCATACAGGCACGGGGAGAACATGGAAACTACATACAGGGAGGCCAGAGCCAGAATACAACCCTGCACCTGTGCACTGTGAGGTCAATGCGCGAACCAAACGACCACCCGCCCATACAACAAACAAAACAACAAATGAATAATGAAGACCAAAGAAAGCACAGAAACAGTCTTGTCTCATGCTGAAACAAAAGTCAAAGAATAAAAATTTGTTTCAAGACGTTTCAAGACGAGTTTTAAAGATAGGTAGCGAGGGGGCTTGCCTAATGTTCAGCAGCAGGTCATTCCAAAGAAAGGGACAAGCAATGAAAAAGGTTCGATCCCCACTGAGCCTCCGCTTAGTTCTCGGTTCCTCGAACAGTG